GGGGGGGGGGGGGGGGGGGGGGGGTCCCATGATGCCTTTCTGAATTTTAAAACGTCTCGTGTCGGTGTTTATAAATGCTTGTCGCTTATTGTCGGCTTTGCCGTCACTGTCGTAGTTTGGCCGAGGGAGGTTGTCTCTTGTCGCGATTTCATTTTACGCGCTGTCGCTACTTTTTGGGCCATGTCGCTTGTCGGAATTTACCCTGGCAGGGCCTCACTAAGGACCTGATCGATCGACCTCCCGTCGACATGCGCAGTAATGATTTTATTTTCTTTTATACCACTAAGGACCCGATCGACCTCCTACTGACATGCGCAGTAATAATTTTACTTTCTTTTTACCACTAGGACCCGATCGACCTCCCGCCGACATGCAGGTCTTTTCACCACATTCCACATCACTTTATGTAAGCTGGAATGAGGTGCCCGATGCTTACAAAAATGGTATTATAAGAGGATACAAAGTTTACTACATAGAGGTGAAAAATGGCTCCAGTGTTACCGAAAACCTCCCTTCCGGACAGCGATGGCTCCGAATTGATGGATTAAGAAAGTATACTTTATACAATGTCACGGTGTTAGCTTACACAGTAAAAGGAGACGGAGTGGTAACAAGTAAAGAACATAAGACGGATCAAGATGGTATGTCTGTTTCCTAGGAGACACATTAACATTTATTTTTCTCTAGGACCCCTTCACCTCGGATCATTCATCGGCGACAAGTTAATGTCAGGCCATTCAAATGTGCAGTCTCTGCGTTCGACGTAGAAGAACGCACTTGCATTATGCCACATTAGAAACGAGAGGGAACTGTGCCGAGTTAACGTTCGTAAAGACTTCTGGGACTGTTAATAGGCCAATAGCTGACTTCAGCGGCTCGTCCTCGGCAACAATCCCATAAGTCTGCGATAGTTAAGTCGATCCATTTTCTTTCTTGTTGTATGGGAGAAAGGTGAACAGGTCCGAGTCGAGGGACACTGCAAATTTTATACTGCGAAATGCCATCATCAAGACAGAGAGAGAACCTGAAATCGAGAGTGGTCGAACGCACTCTGTAATCTTTAATATTACCTAATTTTAGATTTATTTTCCCTATGGTGATTTAATATTTTCAGTGTTAACAAACGCATGAACAATGTGGATTCGAGACTCCTTGGTTCTCGCGTTTAAGTTTCTTCATTAGCAGTTAACCTAGCTGAGATTTCTCTCCTTCAATTTGGCTGACGGCCCAAATTAAATCTCTTAAAAAATTAATTTTACACCGGTGATAATTCACCGCCAGCCCAGTGACAGAGTTTCTTTGAAACTAACCCCTTCACCCAAATTCATAACCCTTTGGACTCTTGAACATGGTCTGTCCGCTACAATTATAGAAGGACCCTAATTTTGTATCTATTCTAACAATAACGAAGCTCTTGTCAAGCAGTGAATGTTTACTTTGCGTTGATTGCTTTTCTTAAAACTTGTAAATATTTGCAGTTCCAGACGTACCCCCGCTCAACGTAGAAGCTGACAGTACTTGGACAACCTATTCAATTCCCCTGAGGTGGACCCGCATTCCTTCGTACCTACTAAACGGAATACTTACCGGTTATAGAATACGATATCAAGCTATAGAAATAGGCCAATTGTCCTACGAGGAGAACCCCAGGGAAGTGATTGTCCCCGCAGAAAGTGTATCTACCGTACTGACCGGACTAGAGAGCTTTGCTGTGTACCGTATAGAATTGACCGGGCTGACAGTAAAGGGAGATGGTCCAAGTGAAGTCATTACAGCAGGTAATCAGTGTTTGGCCGGTATTAACAATCGCAGGTTATCATTGGTGGACAAGGGGAGGGTGGCGAACGGGGACCCCACGTAGGTGAGGTAACCTGCCTGTTCATATAATCTCTCATTTTAATGTGATCGCAATTACATGATAGGTGGAGGGACCCGGCACATGTTACCTCACCTACCTGGGCTCCCCCACCTTCATGTAAACAGGCCCTTAGTGTCCTTAGCTCCCACAAGTCTCCTGTGGCTCAGTGGTAGAGCATCTGGACTAGTACCCAGAAGGCCGTAGGCTCGACCCCTCTTGGGGAGTACCGTAATGATTCGATTTAGCGCCCTCCTCCCAATAAGGCGCCCCTATTCTAATAAGCGCCATTCTAAAAATTCATTGGAACAAGCAGCATTTTTTATGTAAGTGACACTGTCGAAGCTTTCGGTGCGGAAATAGATTAAAATTCCCTCACGTTAGCTGAGCATTCACCGTAGATTTGTTACTGTTACAGTTTCTGTTATTGTTCCTTTTTAAATAAATATTATAGTTTTGTCTTGAACATTCGGTTGTTTCTCAAAAAAGAAATAAGCGCCCTGTCTCGAATAAGCGTCCTCCGTTGAGGCACCAAAAGTAAATAAGCGCCCTGGGCGGTAAATGAAATCAGTACGGTACTTCTTACTTACTTACCGAACTACCTGCGTCACTGACTGAAAAATCATCTCTCTAATCATGTTCCCCTTGACAAGCTATTTTTCTAATAATTATCTTTATAGAGACATGTCGATGTGTGAAGCGCCTTACAGCAAACTGGATGTTACTCGCCCCTTACGTTACCAAGCCGAATGGCAACCAAACAGATAATATCCCAGGCGGTCTGGTGTCACCATTTGTCAATGACATGGCAATATCTTGCTGTCAGTCTTGCAAGACACACGGGGAGTCTTACATCGACTACGAGCTCAACGCCATGGGCGAGGAATCCCTTAAAAAATCTGAAGACGTTTTCCGTAGGTGCGTGTGCATACATATAACTTGTGATCACGCTTATTTACACGACCTTCCCTTGCTTTATAAGGTCTTATAATTTAGAATTTAGTTAGTCTTGAGGTAAAAAACAATATGAGTGGTTTTTGGCCTCTGCCTGATATTTTTTACACCGTTTTTCCCACCAATCCTTATATGACATAATAGCAGCAAAACCACAGACCCATTGGCTGGTTTCTTATCTCTTTTGTTACCCTCAATTCTTTTCACAGGAATATCCTTCATTCAAACGACTTCAGCTTTCCTGTTTATGGTTACAAACTACAAGACAAGTTCAGACACGAGTTTGGTTACTTGGGAATCGTGGAATCTCCTGGTATAGCGTACGTCATCAACACAAATTACGGTGCCAATATGTCTACGTCTCTCGTGAATTCTGTATTTGCAAGCTGGCCTCTTGCTTTGTTCAGCATCTTCCTTGCCTACATAGCTGGATACGTTATTTGGATAGTGGTAAGATACAGTTGTCTCAACGTATGAGGGAGCAGGGTAGGGAAGTACCTAGGGTATCGGGGAAGTTCCTAGGATATCAGATAACCCCCCCCCCGGCCTCTTGCCTTGTTCAGCATCTTCCTTGCCTACATAGCTGGATACGTTATTTGGATAGTGGTAAGATACATTTGTCTTAACGCATGAGGGAGCAGGGTAGGGAAGTACCTAGGGTATCGGGGAAGCTCCTAGGATATCAGATATCCCCCGGCCTCTTGCGTTATTTAGCATCTTCCTTGCCTACAGCTGTATACGTTATTTGTATAGTGGTAAGATACAATTGTCTTAACGTATAAGGGGAGCAAGGTAGGTGAAGTTGCTAGGGTGTGGGGAACTTCTTAGGGTATCCGGTGATATTTTCCGTTATTTAGCTTGGGACAGGGTAGGGGAAATACCTGGGGTGTGGGGGAAGTTCTTATATCTTATATCTAAATCATCTTTCGTTTCAGGACCAGACCGGAAATGACGAACATTTCCCACGCTCCTTTCTACCTGGATTATGGGAGGGATTTTGGTGGGCGTTCGTTTCCATGACAACCGTNGTCTTACATCGACTACGAGCTCAACGCCATGGGCGAGGAATCCCTTAAAAAATCTGAAGACGTTTTCCGTAGGTGCGTGTGCATACATATAACTTGTGATCACGCTTATTTACACGACCTTCCCTTGCTTTATAAGGTCTTATAATTTAGAATTTAGTTAGTCTTGAGGTAAAAAACAATATGAGTGGTTTTTGGCCTCTGCCTGATATTTTTTACACCGTTTTTCCCACCAATCCTTATATGACATAATAGCAGCAAAACCACAGACCCATTGGCTGGTTTCTTATCTCTTTTGTTACCCTCAATTCTTTTCACAGGAATATCCTTCATTCAAACGACTTCAGCTTTCCTGTTTATGGTTACAAACTACAAGACAAGTTCAGACACGAGTTTGGTTACTTGGGAATCGTGGAATCTCCTGGTATAGCGTACGTCATCAACACAAATTACGGTGCCAATATGTCTACGTCTCTCGTGAATTCTGTATTTGCAAGCTGGCCTCTTGCTTTGTTCAGCATCTTCCTTGCCTACATAGCTGGATACGTTATTTGGATAGTGGTAAGATACAGTTGTCTCAACGTATGAGGGAGCAGGGTAGGGAAGTACCTAGGGTATCGGGGAAGTTCCTAGGATATCAGATAACCCCCCCCCCGGCCTCTTGCCTTGTTCAGCATCTTCCTTGCCTACATAGCTGGATACGTTATTTGGATAGTGGTAAGATACATTTGTCTTAACGCATGAGGGAGCAGGGTAGGGAAGTACCTAGGGTATCGGGGAAGCTCCTAGGATATCAGATATCCCCCGGCCTCTTGCGTTATTTAGCATCTTCCTTGCCTACAGCTGTATACGTTATTTGTATAGTGGTAAGATACAATTGTCTTAACGTATAAGGGGAGCAAGGTAGGTGAAGTTGCTAGGGTGTGGGGAACTTCTTAGGGTATCCGGTGATATTTTCCGTTATTTAGCTTGGGACAGGGTAGGGGAAATACCTGGGGTGTGGGGGAAGTTCTTATATCTTATATCTAAATCATCTTTCGTTTCAGGACCAGACCGGAAATGACGAACATTTCCCACGCTCCTTTCTACCTGGATTATGGGAGGGATTTTGGTGGGCGTTCGTTTCCATGACAACCGTAGGGTGAGTGCGATGATCAATTAATCTTGGGATTTCTTTGATTCCAGGTATTTAGCTGTATGTGGCTTGTGATACGTTTAGTGATAAGGACTGAATTAGGGCCTAAACTTTTAAGTAAAGGAAACAATCAAGAAAATGAATCAATAACTGAAATTCTTCTTTATAAGCTTTGATTAATTTATGATGGAGCATAAAATGAATTCTTTAGAAACAAAAATACGCTTTAATATATGAATAACTTCATTACCAAGGCATTTCTAGTTGATTTGAATAAAAAATCGAATCGCTCCTTGTAAGGCAATCCAAGACAGTCTTGGATTGTGGATTACACGCCGTGGATTCCGGAACCTAGAAACAGAATCCCGAATTCTTTGTCAGTGGAACTTGGATAGTGGATCAAATTGTTAGCTGGATTCCAAGTTCCTTGAGCTTTATTCCGGATTCCTAAGTCCGGATTCCTCAAGCAAAAATGGAAGGGGTCAGACTACAAATTGTGGTTGCTGGAAGTCTTAACTTTTCATCATTTTTCCCTACTTCAAAAAGGGGCGCGAATATTAAAATGGCTTAGGTTGAGTTTATATCATTACGCCTAATTTAAATTAATTTCCAATGCGAGTTATTCTGAAATTCTGTATCGCAGGTATGGTGATAGACTACCTTTATCAACCATTGCTCGGCTTGTCGCCATTGTTTGGACGTTGACGGGGGTTGTTATTCTTGGTATATTGGTCGGTTCCATCGCAGTCTCCCTTACTTACCAAACAGTTGGAATTGATTACAAACTTTACGGCGCCAAGGTAAATTTCCATATCATGATACCGTCGTATGATGGGCTTAGAAAACATTTATACCCTTCACTGAAAAGATTTATGAGAACTCTTTACCGACAGACTTAGGAAGGAGCCGATTAGTAATCGACTCCTGATTTAAGGTATGTTCGCACTATACCGGTAGCGTTTGCGCCGGCGCGAAAACCTTATCGGTTCGGGCTTCTAATGTTCGCGCATAAGAACCTTGATATCGGCGCGATTTCTGTAACGCACGCGAAGAAGCGCCGCGCCGATCTCTAAAGTGGAGCGTCACATATCGGATATAGTATGAATATATAGAGGATATTACACGGTGGCGCGAAGATATGAATTTTATTTTCGAGTGGCAAAACAATATTTTACGAACGAGCGCAGCGAGTGAGTAAAATATTGTTTTTGCC